CTGTTTTACAGTGACACTAAATACCCTCTGGAGGTATTAGGTTCTCCCCAGAACTCAGGTTTGGACATTTGACTCAGGGACACCTAAAATGAGATAGGTGAATCTTAGGATAAAGACCAAAAGGAGCTGATTTAGCAAAGCCTGTTGTTTACACAGCTAAGCTAGCAAGTTTTGCTCTCAGCAAAAGTGTTTGGGGAATGACCAGAGAAGCAGTTCACTTCTCAGGGCAGAGGGAACGGGAGCCTCAGGTGGGGTGAGCGGGAGCTGGCAATCAACAGCTGCAAGTAAGGAGTCAGCCAGCCTCCCTCTTAAGGGGCATCGTGACATGATGTTTTCCACAGTGCATGCAAGGACCGTTTTCTTTTCTCCCTCTCCAGACCTCCAAACACTTCGTAAGGGTTCAATGCCTTCAACACAGCCCTTCCAGGGAGCAGAGCAGAGTCAGGCATGCTCTGCCGCACAGTTGTTGAAGTCTTGGTGCCATGGCTTCAGATGCAATATGCTTTGCAGTCACTGGCTTGTTAGCCCCCTTGTACAGGCACAGCAAATTCTCTGTGGCTGCCTGGTTTGTTTTAAGAACAGAGTGCACAAACTAGGCATGTGATTTTTTTTTTTCCTTTATTATAACTATGTAAATGGGAGTCAGTGTTGTTTTACAAGGGTGAGTGATGTTATTTCTGTATGATCGCTTGTTCTGAATAAAATGTAGTTCAGTTAGCTCCCGACCTGCAGCTCATAGGTGTTTTGCCTTCAAAACACTTCTGATGTTGCTTCACAGCTGTGGGAAATGAAAAAGCCTAGAACTGCCAGCAGCAGGCTGAGCGCAGTGTGATTCTTCCTGTAGCAGGTTATTTGCTACAAGTTATTATATGTGGGCCAGTAAAAGTTCACTGATCCCTTTTTATCTTTTTTAAGCCTTTTAAAACCCAGTGAGGACTTTGCAGCACACCTTTTCTGATTTTAAAGTACTAGTTTTATTACCTGCCATTTCACCACTTTATCCTCAGTTTATCCTCAAATGTGGAGAAAAATGCAAAAAATCCTCCCACAAAATATTTCCTTCATCAATTTACAAGTAAGAAAAAAACTGATTAGATTAGACAGTATCTGCAGTCTTCATTGCAGAATTTCTGCCCTGTATAGTTTAAAATTAACTTTACATCAATCAGCCAAATTACTTACATTTTAAAGTCACAGTGTGCCATTTAGATCTCAGATGACTATCAGTTAAAGCACAGACTTTAATAATACTCTGCCATAAGTGGCAATACTAACAAAAGGGGAAATGGCAAGAGAAGACCAAGACTTCAGTGTTTTTGTCTAAACTGCTTTTTAGTTGTCCCAGTTGGTGTTACTGGTTCCTGACTGTGCTGCCTTTGGAGACTTTCTGCTAGTTAAGAAACAGACCAAAAATCGGTGATGCTGGCGTGGGAATACTGTATTTGTGAAACCAGAGTTTGTCTTTACTAAGAGTTTTTGTATCCGCACGGCTTGGTTACTCTGACTTCTTTTCCGATCAGCTCTGTTTTCTTAGAAAACTCATGCTGCTATATTACCCAGGTTGCTGTAGTGTAAGCAAAAGGAGATACCCCTTGGCTGTAAAGCTCTTCACACAGCTCATGCCCTGCTCAAGTGCTCCAAACATTAGCATGCACATGGGGTCCAGCAGCACCTTCTCCTTAAAACCAAAGGCGTTCGCTGCTGCATCAGTTGTCTTGCGTTAGACAACAGAGAGGAACTAGTTGGTACGTAGAGTCTTTGCCCCTTGTTGTCTTGCTGCTCTCCAATTAGATATTTCTCTAGAGAAAGATTTAGGAGGAGAGGGAGAGCAGTGAGAGAACCATGAGACTAATGGAGATAAATGCAGACTTTCACTAGATTTCCTATACAGTAATAAAAAAACCTTTATGGAATGGGAGGGGGAAGGATTCGTACAGTTCTATTATTAACATCCAGAATTGTGTTTATTGCTTACTCTCTTAGCAATCTCAAAAATATTCTCCAAGAGTCACACAATATTGATTATTAAATAGGGTGGCAACTGACATCTGTCACATCAGGCAACATCTGCACATCAGTTCCTACTTGATGTTAGAAATCATAGTGGGAATGTTATCTTTTGGGGAAATAGCCAGCCTCTTTTGCACAATCAAAGAAGCACTCCGTATGGAAGGTATTTATTATATTTAAGTTATTTTGAATGCAGCTGTGTAAAGTTGTCAATTTAGGACCGTTTTAGTTTAGATGGTGAAGAAGGAACAGTCATCTGTAGGTGGAAAAAAAGAGCCAATTTGAGCGAGTTTGGTTACATTGCATTAAGGTATTAATTTTAACATTCAAAAAGCTGCCACTCACACAGCATTGCAGTGGCTGTAAAAATACTGTCAGAAAGCCAAATGCAATGGCTTCCCTTCTCCCTTCTTTCTCTAGTTTCAATTAGTAGATTGGGAAAAAAAAGTTTTGTAACTTTTTATTACTGTTTGCCCTAGAGCAGGATTATCAAGAAATGTTGCAGGGAAAATAATAAATTGACAATAAAATAATTTTTTGTAATTTAATGTCAGATTAAGGCCTTTCTTGGACAGTGTTTACACCACTGATTTTGGTGTGTATTGGGCATGTTTAACAGTTAAGAGAAATAGGATAAGGCAAAGTACGTTTACTTATGTAGACTGTGTGCATATATGTTTGTGTGGATACATGTGTATAAATGATACCAGGTAGTATGGTTTATACATTGCACATCTTCTAGAGAAGAGGGAATCTTGTGGTTTGGATGATTTCTCTCTTCCTACCTTCTCCTCCTCCACCACATTCCAACATGGTTATGATTCATGTCGGTAAGTTGTCCTTCAGCTAATAGAGGCTGAGCAGCAAGCTTTGGCAGCTTGATTTTGGGAAGTTCTCTCCTTCACTGTACTACATATCATATAACTAGAATTACATGTAAGCTAGCGGATTTGGCAAATAAAACTCTGGAACAGAATCTTTTCATTTATCTGTCTATCTTGAAACTGTGATGGCAGAAGGGTCAAGTAAGGGGTCTCACTCCTATTCAGAGCTATGAATTCCAGCCTCTCTCTAGTCGTGCATCCAAAGATGCACCCTCATACCAGCCTCTCACGGGAGCCTGAACATCCAAGCTGAAGAGCAAGATGGCTGGTAACATCATTTCAGTGACTGGTTGATTATCAAAATTAGTCTGTCTTAACCACACTAACCCAATGGCACTCCTAGCTTTGGAGTCCTTTGGGTTTTCCTTCTGTTTTCTGTAATCTGATATTAGTGTTTAAATATGCACTTTACAAATATGTGTGTATACATACATATACATATATATACACATATGTATCTGTATGCATGTGTATATATATACACATGTAAATGAGCGTATATATAAAAAAAGTTAGTGAGATATTTGTACACTTGTGCAAGATGTATGGAGGAAAAGATACAGGACAAAATAATCAGTTGAGAGCTTATTTCTGTATCAGCAAAAGCCACAAAGTTTTGTATCCCTTCCCCACCCCTCCAATTTCTGGATTTGCCTACACCACGTATATAGAGCATGAGCCTGGAAGAGAAATTGTAGCAAACACACCTGGAAAGATCCTCTGGGTAAGGTTTGTCCATCCTGTCACTAGGAAGCGCAATCTATTAGTTAAATTTTGGCTCTTGAATAATAATACAGAAAGGAAAAAATCTCCACAATTTATTTTCATTTATTAATTGCATTGAATTATAAAAACAGTTGAAAGAAATTATATGCACCAGAAATATTTTCTCCAACCTCCTTTTCACAGAATCAGAGAATGGTCAGGGGTGGAAGGGACCTCTGGAGATCATCTAGTCCAACCCCGCCACCAGAGCAGGGTCACCTACAGCAGGTTGCACAGGACAGCATCCTGGCGGGTTTTGAATGTCTCCAGAGTGGGAGACTCCTCCACCTCTCTGGGCAGCCTGTTCCAGTGCTCCACTACCCTCAAAGTAAAGAAGTTCCTTCTCATGTTAAGATGGAACTTCCTATGTTCAAGTTTATGCCCATTGCCCCTCGTCCTATCACTGGGCGCCACTGAAAAAAGACTGCTCCCATCCCCCTGGCATCCTCCCTTTAAGTATTTGAAAGTATTAGTAAGATTCCCCCTCAATCTTCTTTTCTCTAGACTAAAGAGCCCCAAGTCCCTAAGCCTTTCTCCATAGGAGAGATGTTCCAATCCCCTAATCATCTTTGTAGCCCTTTGCTGGCCCCTGTCCAGCAGTTCCCTGTCCTTCTTGAACTGGGGAGCCCAGAACTGGATGCAGTACTCCAGATGCGGCCTCACCAGGGCAGAGGAGAGGGGGAGGATGACCTCCCTCGACCTGCTGGCCACACTCTTCTTGATGCACCCCAGGATGCCATTTGCCTTCTTGGCCGCCAGGGCACATTGCTGGCTCATGGTCATCCTGTTGTCCACCAGGACTCCCAGGTCCCTCTCCACAGAGCTGCTCTCCAGGAGGTCAGCCCCCAACCTGTACTGATGGATGGGGTTATTCCTCCCCAGATGCAGCACCCTACACTTACCCTTGTTGAATTTCATCAGGTTTCTCTCTGCCCAACTCTCCAGCCTGTCCAGGTCTCGCTGTATGGCGGCACAGCCTTCTGGCGTGTCAGCCACTCCTCCCAGTTTTGTGTCATCAGCAAACTTGCTGATGGTACACTCTATCCCTTCATCCAGATCATCGATGAATATGTTGAACAAGACTGGGCCCAGTACTGACCCCTGAGGGACACCACTTGTTACTAACCTCCAACTAGACTCTGCACCACTATTTTGTAAACTTTTGTAAACTAATTCTAGATATATTTTTATATATCTAATACTAAGTATTGCAAACATTCAGATTCTTTTAATAGTCCTCAAAGAATAATATTGCATCTTTAATCATTTCCCCTGGCTTGTGTTTGGCATGGAATTTTGTTTTCATTTTACAATTTCCCTTTTTTTCTTCCTTTCCATCAGGAGAGAGAAACAGAAGAAGAAGATGTCAGGTGGCTTTCAGCTATATGCCTCAAAATGAAGATGAACTGGAACTAAAAGTTGGCGACATCATTGAAGTTGTGGGAGAGGTGAGCAGATCTTTAATGGAATATATACACATGCAGTTCTGACATATCTTGTGCATGCTAAGCTCTTAGATACAGTGTGTTTTAAGACATAATTTAAACCAGACATTTTTCTTCTCTGGCATACTGACATGCCTGGTTTGGGTTACTGTTGCGGGTGAGGGGATGTGGTTGTTTGCTTAGGGATTTCATGAGGGTTTTTTTCCCTGTAGCACTTCTGCTGGTTTTACTCGATCAGTTGATGCTTCTGAGTTCCATTCAGGGAAAAAGCTCAAAGTTTGTGCTACAGGGCTATTGAGTTTAAATCTCTGATGAACCAAGATTATAGTGCAAAAAGCTCTTCCCAATTTTATTAAGCCAGCCACAGGGAAGAATTATTTTTACGAAGTTAAACACATTTAAGAAATTCACTCGAAACCCTCTGGAGTTCAGCCGTGGCAATCACCTTTTGTCATCTTTGCCTGCAAATTTTAACAATGTCATTTTAGTCTAATCAGTTAAAACAAACAAACAAACAAACAAAAACCCCAGCAAATTCTTTAGAGACTCAGGATGCACTTATTTTGGGTGGAAATGGATGTGAAAAATGAGTGCACACCTCTTAGGACTGGGAACAAATTAAGAAAGCTTGGACAGAGATACAGACATTTTCTTTGCATGGATGAATCTGGTTGCAGGATCAAGGAATGCTGTCTGCTCCTAATATCTTCAGGTTAGTTCCATTAGCAATTTTGGAAATATTTTCTTGAGCTTAATAGCACGAGGACCAAAAGTCAAAATGCTAACATGAAGCCTTTAAGTAGAATGCATTCAAACTCATTTAGTCTTTATTTATTTAACTTTAAAAAGATCTAAGAGCTTAGTCTGCTGGAGCAGCCAGTAGAAGGTGTGTTTCAGCTTGTATCGTTTATTAGTAGGATTTTTCCCCCTGTGACTCAGCAGCTAATAAGTCAACATTTTTTTCTTATCAAGGATAGATGATTAGGTTTTTTTTTCCTGCATCTGTCACTTAAGAAATTAGTTCTAAAAGAAGATAAATTCTACTGCAATCTGCATGACATCCAGCATTTTCTTACGAGAGATTAAATTCTCACATCTGAATGTAAGAAGCTTAGTGATCGTGGGTTTTCCTTTAACCTAGCTGTGCACACCAGCTCTGCACATAGTTCTTCCTGGAATCAGACATGATGTGTCACTTGACTAACCTTATTCTGTCTGTGAGCAGAATTGTAATGGGGGATGTCAAGGTTGTAAGGTATTTAAGAGCATATTTTGAAGACAATGTAAACCCAATATTATGATGAGTTTCACGGCAGCGTAAGGTGTTTTTATTGCACAATTTGAAGTATATTTGACCTCACATGGCCACACAAATATCTTCCGTCAGTTGCCCTACTTAAAAATTTAAAGTCTGTGTCTTTCAAGAGTAAAGTGATGGAATAAAACCTCTTCCTAGTATCCAGCCAACAAATTAACTGTACCGAATGAATTGCATGATTAAATAATTTAGATGAGACACTAGACTTCTCTTACGAAATGCATCTCTTGTCTTCTTATAAATTTGAACAATTTAATTATAAATTACAGATTTGTTTAAATCCAAATGACATCCAAATGCTTTTTGAGACCCACTTGAACTGCCAGTTACAGACTTGGTAGTCTTAAACTCATAATTGTACCTTGAATTGCTGTTGTTGAAGAAAACATTGACAAGTTGCTGATTCTAAGGTTTAAGAAAATGTATTGTTTAGGGTTGCTTTTTTGATTGGCACTCCTAAAGAATATCATGCTGGAGTTAGTTTTACTGTAGTGTGGAAGAGAATTGCTCATGGCTGACTTGAACTACTGGCCATACATAAATGCTGAAGAACAGCTGACACAGGTGAGGCTGTGTCCACTTTGACCTTACGCAATACCCTGTTCTGTCAGCTACTGAAACAAAAGCTCTGCCTCAGCCATCATGATACAGGATGTTGTCTGACTCTTCTGGGTGGAACTAGATCAGCTGGTGGAAGAGGGAAAATAAAGGAATTTAGAGAAAAAATTCTCAGCACCTCAGGAAGTGTTGTTGTGCAAGTGACCTTTATTTTCTATCATGGTTGATACCAAGCAGTTGATGTTGAATACTAGCTGTTACTACTTCCTCTCTGCCCTTATCATAGTAGTGTTAATTCCTCGAAAAAGTAGGGCAGAATTTTTCTTTTGAAAGAGGAACTTTTATTTGATGTAGAAAGCTGCATCAACCAATGTACTGGTTTCATTGTTTTCCCTTCTGCTTGTAGGTAATGCTGAACAAAGACTCATTGCATTGAAATAGGATTCACATTGTTTATGTCACTATACAATGCTCCTTATGTCAAATGATAAATGTTTGATGTGAGGGACTTATTATTTAAAAAGTACGGCTTCCTCGGTTGCGAAAATAGAGATTTTTTTTTTGTTTTTGTAAGGGCTAAACTCATGCTGTGTTGTTATACAAAAAAAACCAAAACAACAGCAAAAAAACCCTCCCACATAGGTGAAAATTGGAGGCAATTCTTGCAATATATAAATTTTGTTTATCATTACTCCAGATGAAAAACTGGATGATATTTAGCATTATTTACAGTGTCTCAGTGGGTAATTGGAACATTAATGGTCACTCACTTTCCATTTTCAGTTGCTTCTTTCTTTTACCCCATCTTTTTATTCATGAGTAGAAGGTCTCAGATTCCCACAGGTAGTATTTTATTGTATCCTACTAAGAAAGTTCCATCAGTTGAATTAATTGGTTTTAAATTGTCTTAGATTAATATGTTCAAATCTCTGTGGATTTGTTTAGTTGGGAATAAATTGATTCTTAACTGACTTACAGCAAACTAAAACAGATACTGTTTAGATCAAAATACTGTCCATATGTCTTTATGTGGGTATTTAGCAAAAAATGTGTCTAAAATGTAACTTACGGTTGACAACTCATTAAACTTTTCCTCTTGCAAAGAAAAGCTGGTTCCTGTTGTACTGTGCTAATTTGGCTTCATCCTTAAAGAAATGGGTTCTGCTCCTCCTTGAACCCCTTGAAGGTCACTGCCTCCAGCAAAGGGTTGGCAGAAGGGAATGCAAGTCTTCTCCTCAGCTGCCTTCATCAGTGCCCAAGCATGTTTCCCCAGACCCTCAGTGAAAATGGGTTACGCTGATATTACATGGTGATGTGCTGAGGATGAGGTCGTCTTCCCTTCTCCCGCCTCTGCTTCAGGGTGCTAACCAACACCTGAGGTGTAGTATCATCTAAAGCTGCCCCAGATCCTTCTTCCTGGTGCCAACAGATTGGGTAAGACACTTTTTGAAAGGGTTTTTATGTCTGTGGTAGTGATAGGTACTATTGGAAATTCCTGTTGTGGCAAAGCCGTTTGGGGCTGTACATTGGATTGAAACAACAGTAACAGGAAGTGTGAGTTTTGAGATGCTAGGTTTGTCACCAGATAGGTATCCTTTGGAGGCTGAGTATGTTCAGAACTCAAAGTTCCTTCTCATTTGTTCTAAATAGTTAGAAATTAATTATAATAAGATCAAACATTCATCACAATAGATAAAAATGCTTGTTGTTAAACTAGAGGTTTCCATAACTACACAGACACTGATACCCATGAGACATTAATTAACAGACTTAAATTAAAAGTGCATTTGAAACTAACAAGAGAAGTGTTTTCATCATTGTTTACGTTCACATTTAATATGTGATTGATAGCTTTTTGCTTGTCATTTTCCTAGCTCATTAGCTATAACTCTAATTACAGTTGTCCCAAAATACAACTGTAACTAATTGTCTTATTAAATGCAGATATCTGAATTCCAATTATGTTTCACCCTTAGACTTTCATGGGATGCCAGACAATTAACCTGTAGCATCAGAATAAGGACATTTGGCATGTCACTCAACAGTTCCCGTTTTCATTTGGGATTAGTCTGCTGTCATGCTGCTATATACCTTGTGGCCTCATCCTGCTGAGAAGTCAGCTTTTTGGCAATGTGTAGTGCATGGAGTTAAGCTCACAACTAAGTCTTTGACTGAGACATGCTGTAATACCACTGAGCTTGTTCTTTGACTTTTAGTTAACATTGCCATACAGTACATGATTAAATCCTGTAACTCATTTGAAATGATAAAAATGCAGACTGTTTTTTTACAAATCTGTTGCTCCTTTTGGGCAAGGTTGATGGGGATTTTTTGTTGTTGTTATGAGATAAAGGGTTTCAACCCATTTCCAAGAACAAGGTAAACACGGGATTGAGCTGGACTTTCCTTACAGTAATTTATTTTGACAGCTGTAGATTTAAAAGGGGAATATTTAAGAGTGGCAAGGTGATGGTCTATGCCACAAGCACAGAACTGTGTAATACTGCAAGAAAACAGCTGGGCATGAGTGCTGAGGTTCCACATCCCTCAGATACTATTCTGTGAAATCCTGTGGTAAGGTGTTTTTCCTGATCCTCTTTCAACAGGAGGTTCATAAGGACTTCTATGACTATTGCTTGTATGGTTAGTTCATGTGGTAGGAGGCTTCTTTGTGGAAATAAGGGTGCAAATACCTCTGACTCTTTATAGGGTCATTCCAGTTCTATGTGATTGCTTTCTCAGTCCCTCAGTTTCTTACTTAGAAGATGATGTTAAAAAAACCCAACAAAAACCCAAACCACAAAAAAAAAACCAAACAAAAAAAAATCCCAAAGCACATTTTGACATTGTAAAATAAAGAACTCTGAAGCTGAAAGATCCCCTAATACAAGGTACTTGTGTGGTTTTTAATTCTTCTCTTCTGCACCAGAGTTATCAAACAGCTTCGAGATGTGGTGTAGCAGAAGCCCAAGGGCTGGTTGATGTTTCATGGGTATGGCTCTCTCTGAGTGCACTCCCAGAATAAGCCATCAAGTGGCACTGTAGGCACCACCTTCTGTTGAGGTCTTGTTTCCAAAATTTCTTTTCCCATTGGCAGCAAATATGATTTGTTTCTTTTGCCTCTTGAGTATCTATGTTTTTAATTTCCTTTCAACATATGATTGCTTTTGTGCTTCAAGCTCATGATCTTCCTTCAGAATTTATAAAATAAGAGAGGTTTTTTCTTTTGTTTTTGTGCTCTAGTTCTCACTAATCAAAAGAAAATTTGTTGACCTTGGGCTTCTCTCCTTCCTGTTGCCTGCCTCTGGCATTGCTTTTATTCCTGGGACGGTGTTTTGGTTTTAACAGCCCAAAAAGATTCTGTTGTGATCCAAGGAGACTTTCTTCCACTTGAAACCTTTCCTGACTCAAAGCCTCCCTCGTTTGCCCTAGCTGAGCTGTAAGTAGTCTGTCAGCCTAATAGGCAAAGCTGCAGGTTGTAGAAAAGCTTGTGGAATGGGAGTTTATTGGAAACACACTTCAGGCCAGTGATTCCAAAGAGCTGAACATTTTAATCATTTAACAACTTTAGCATGTTGATTATATTAGAAGGTGTAAGCAAGCAGCTGTGGCAGCCTGAGATATTCTGGCAAGCAACTGCTGGTAGTTGCCCTCAGCGTTTCCTGCTCATTTTGGGTATCCTGTCCTGGAGTTACAGGGATAGCCACTCAGCTCCTGCCATGGAAGGTGCTTCTAGGCTTGTAACAATAAGGTTTATTGCGCCACAGGCCAGGCTGATGCTCCCTCTGACACTTCTGTCTTCAAAGGGTGATGTTGCAGATTGTATTGGCCATGAAGAGAAAACCTAAAGAAAATAAAAAGTAATGTTTCCTTGTAGTCCTAGTGACCTACTGAAGTTGTTTTGTTTTCTTTGGTTGCTTTACAGTTACAGAATTAAATAGCATTCCCAGTCTGAGATAGAACTATTGTGTTTGCCTGAAGGCTTCAAGTGCTGTCATATTATTTTTTTTTTTATTTTTTGTGTACTTTAAACATGGAAATAGGCTGATTTTTGTCGATTTCAAAGCAGCTTAATGTCCTAGCATCCATATACCCTTTTGAGAACTTCTTGTTTGTGCGTCTGAATGTCTCACCCATATAATTCTCTGTGTTATTTTTCTGTCTGTCCACTTCCATGGTATCATGGTTTATTTTGAGCACTTCGTTATTATCTCTAACTTATGTTATTATGTGTAAGTAAAGTTAACTATTACAACCTCTTTACTGTCTTTATGGTCTAGGTTGTTATTCTGTGCTGGGATCTCACAATTTGTTTACTCACTTTCTAACAAAGTAAAACAGTATATTTTCAATAGCTTCCAAAACCCTCATTTACATCAAACAAGGCTCTACTGATTAAGTCAATTAAAAATTTAGTACAAGTATTCTTTCTTCATTGAAAATGTAAAAAACCAACCCCAAACCCCAATGATATTGGAAGAACATTTGAATGTTGCATAACTATTATGTAGCTTAAATTTCCCTTTAAATCCCAAAGGCAAGGCTTCTTAATGGGATGTGTTTCTCTAGAAATGATGGATGGTTCTCTGGTGATACTGTAGTTCGTATCTCATTCAATCACATCCAGGTGTTGGACTGCATATAGCTGTCTGCGATTGCATCTGTCCCTGCCGCACGCGTGGCATTAACTGAGTTGCAGTTGGATGCATGTGTTGTTTCCTTCCTAAGTGGAGTAATGGAAGTATCTTCAGTCACTTCCCTGTATGTTGTTGCTTTTCAAATGTGGTGTGACAGCAGTACTGGCAGCCTAGGGGCTTGGCAAGATGAGGACATGCCATGTCTTCTGAAAGGCGGTGAACAGATACAACACATTGAAAACATGCCTTGAAATTCCTCTAGCTGTAGCCGCTTACATTTGGCAGATTGAAAAGATTCTTTTTCTAATTAAAAACAAAAACTTTGTATTCAGGCTGAACTTACATTTGGTGTGTAGGATATTATGAATAGTAGAACTTCTTTTCCAGCATAGGGGCACAGACTACTGAATGAAATCCTCCTCCTTTTAGATTGTTTGGCTCAGCATATGAATGCTGGGCATAAATCAGGACCTGGATGTATAAATCGTGAAAGCACTTTGTTATAATACTATAGTAACAAATTTTATTGAGTGCTCCAGATGGATTACCTCCATGAATAATGGATTTTCGTTTGTAAGGTTTTATTGGCTGGGAATTATTGTGACATTTCAAACCATGTGGCAATGGATTGCCCCAATTTGGGATAACTAAATCCTGGGGGTGTTTTAGTGTCTTCTTTATGGATTAATCTCTAGCTGGTGTGTTTTGAGGCTTATAAAAGTATGTAGCATGTAGCTATAGTGTTTTAAAATACTTAAAGCTTTTGATGCTTTTGATGAAAATTTCCTAAGAAATCTTTGGGAGGCCCAGTTTGACCTGAACCTCTGATCTCTTGCTAAAATGATTCTGCATTTTCTTGTGGAAAAAATGTGTGTTTTGCATTAGATTTTTCTGAATTTGTGAAATTATTAAATATGATGACATGGTACTTTCAGATAATTAATTCTTGTATCAGCTGGAAGACTTATAGTAAGCTAATGAAGCTTAATAATCCAATTTAGATGTACCTTCTAAGGATCTTTGTACGTATGTATTTCTATACACGTACACAGAGATCCATACTTAAACACGCCACATAAAGAGTGTTAGTGTTGACTTGTAAGAAAAATGTGAAGTGTTACTTAAGCAGGAGGAAATTACTTGAGGGAAAGATGGAACTGAGTGATATTGGTCACCTTATTTCTGTCAAGTAATCTCAGCATCTTGCAAAGCAAGGACCTTGGGAACTGTATTCCCCTGTGATTAACATTCTGGTCAATCAGCTAATGCAGTTATGGTTTAATGTTTAGCTCTAATCAATAGAGCCATCTGGGAACAGTGTATTAGAAAAATTGAAATATTTTATAGTTCAAAGACTCTTGGCCATGTTGTGTATTTTCTATAACATGATACATCATAGATAACTATTTAGAGATATAATTTGTAGAGTTTAATAAGTGTTGTGTGTCATGCAGTTGCAGTTTTCCATGTGGATTTTAGTTTGTTTGGAGAGAAGAAAAGCAAATATTACCTTCTAAAGATTTCGATACTGTCATGCAAAAAACTGCACCCCACTGAAATGACTGAGTGATTTGTATTCTGTCCTCTGAAGCAGCAGCAAGATAATAGCCATTATTCCCACTAAAACTACTGATGCATTTGGGGAAAAATAATAAAAAAAGTTTTGTCATGGACAGGTACTGAGATTAAATGAAAGTAGCTGTGCTGGTCTGAACTGCTTTCAAATTAAAACAAAAAGTCAACCCAGGAGGACAAGAAATGTGCTAGGACAGATGAAGATGGAGAGGAAGCACAGGAAACATTCCTGAAATAACAACAATTTACTTTGTAGTAAAATTGTACATTGAAAAAAAATCAACCATTCCTCTATAGTTTGAGAAAATATTTGCTTGTATTATTAAGAGATTTGTTTTCTAAGAACTTGAGATTTTCACAGATAAGTGATACAAACCAGACTTTTTTTTTAATAATAATTAAATACTACCATTTAAGATGCGAGGTTGTTTTTTTAACAGTAAATGTGAATACCCTCAACTATTTAAGTTAACTTTCTATTTTCATAATTTTTGTTGGGGGGCAGGAAAGAGATGGGTCAAACATTATTGGAGACCGATGTGTAACAGACTGACACTGTCTTCCCTTGTCATTTTTTTGGTGAATGGGCAGCATCTGACAGATGAAAAGTATTTATCTGTCAAGGGTGTGTTTAGCTGATGCATATAATAAGTCATTTCTTGCTGTCCCATTACAACCTGAAGGCATCTGATTTCTAAGGGCTGTCATTTCACTGCCTAACACTGCCATTCATTCCTGAATGGGGTATACACAGGAGAGTTTGTCATTTTTAAGCGATATTTTCTCTTGGGATTGGGGTAGGAACTGTCTCTCCTCCTGACCATATCATTAATATGTATTTCAGTAGCTCTTTGTAAATCTAGAGTCAAATATGCATCAGTACTGTTCTTTGTTCTCTGTAGAGTTCTTATGTTAACACATTAATGATGTAGCAACATTCTTAATTCTTAAAATAAAGAATTTCTGATTTTGATGGGGAAGGCAGGAATATTCACATGATTTATATTAAGATACATAGTTTAGTTTCTTTGAATAGCCCTTTGCAGGCATTTTTCTTTTACCATTGACTAGTTAGGGAATTTAAACTCTTAGAATCTGTAAATCACATACATTAAGAAGCTGGTCATGAATAGGAATACAGTGTGCACTGAAAATTTGGTGATTGAACTGATATCCATAAAAATTAAAATGTGGAGACACTGTGTGCTGTCTAGTTGTTTTTTATTCTTTTATTTAATGCTTATCCATGCTTCTGACTACTGTCAGCGCTGCTGACATTTACAGATGGGTGCATGCATCTTTCTTGGTTTTACTTTAAAAAAAAAAGCGATGTTCTGTCTTGAGCCTATGCTGTGTGCTCCTTATACCTGAAATGAATACAAACTGCTCAAAATCATTACTGTCATTGTTACTGAAAACCATGTATATAATGTAACTCTGTAAAGTGTTGCTTATGTTAAACCCCCCCTTTTTTTGTTTTTGACTTCATGCAGGTAGAAGAGGGCTGGTGGGAAGGTATACTGAATGGAAAGACTGGCATGTTTCCTTCCAACTTCATAAAGGAATTGTCTGATTCTGATGATGTCGGAATAGCACAGGAAGAGCAAGTAAAGCCAAGTAAGGAAAAAAATATTATTGGTGTTGTGTATTTATGTCTGTGTCTTTACCCACTAACACGCTGATAGGGTAGCGTGATCATATCTCTTACTTTAAAGTGTTTTTGAATGCCATGTTCTTGATTTGTGCTGTGAAAGGGTCAGATGATAATGATAAATGTGTACTTACAATGCTACCTGAGTTTTAATATTGGCATTGCTCCCTGAGCTCTGTTAAGACTTGCCGAGCTGCAACAGACCAAGAACAGAGAAGGCAATGTTGATTACTGGATTTGTATTTCAAAATGAATTACAATTTATGTTTTTGTCTTTAGATGTGGAAACTGAGCAAAGTAACCAAACATCTACAAAGTGGCTGTGCTTATTTAAATGAGGGATTAAAGTGCCATGCTTTCTATAATGACTCCAGTAGATTTAAGGATTCATAATTATTGGTGTGGGACATGCGGCACTTTTTCCCTCCAGGTGCTGAGCATGTTACTATCACCTCCGTCACCCACTGCCCCAGCAGCCAAAGGGAAAAAGGCCAGAACTGGGACATGGACTTTGTTCTCTCACTTACAGTGGGCCAGTACTGCTGCAGGTGAAAAGCATGTTTGGTAACTAAGTTTGCAATAGTATAAGCATGGTAGTGGGTTGTCCTATTTATAACTTCCCTTGGAGAATAACCTGAACCAAAAGTATGTTGTTATATGAAATGGACACATGTTGGTAGTCATGTTTTTTCTGTTATTCAAACAGATATTCTTATTTCCTATTTCAGTGGTCAATTCTGAATCTTTAGTGAAAAGGAAAAAAGTCAATTGTATTTACATATTTGGGTTAATTCCACAACACCTGCCAAGGTCTTCCTATTTTCAGCACTGCAGATATTCATTGCTATGTAGCCTTCTTCTGAGATCTCTGAACAAGCAAAAGTGAAAAGAATCCCAAGATCTTTGTAACCTTATTGCAGCTGAAATTTACCAAAGCCTTTATAGTTCACTCTGTCAGTAAGAGGTAGGAAGTTATAATACTTCCTCCCTCAACCCCCCCCCCCCCCTTTTACCATTTAAGGCAAATTTATCATCTTTATTCCATCCCACAGAAATAAGATCCTAAAAAAACTGACCTTTGCAATGATGAAAATTTTTTTGCATTGTTTTTGTAATGGAGTACCTATTCATGTGTAGTGGTACTGGTGACCTAGTCATGTGGTCAGTGTTGCTAAAGGTATTTACAGGTAACGTTCCTCCAGACTGGAATGAAAGTATTTTTAAGGAAGTTAACAATTTTAGTGTGATGGAAAGGGAAGAAGGGCATTAAGTGAAGTTGCACATTTCAGTGAGATTGCAAGCTGCTTTCTATAACCTGTATATGCTGTCATGAATTTCGTTCATTATAAACACGGTGAGTCTTGGAAGAACTAATTGTATAGATGTAGTTTCAGCTCTGGATTCTGTAGTGTTTGATACTCTATAAGGTAACTGCTACTGTTCAGGATGGAATAACCCAATTTTATCTGTATGAATGAATGAATATTCCTTGCCCAGGTAATTTGGTAATATTTAGTTTATAATGAGCATCCTAAAAATGTCTCTTAACAAAAATATACCTTGGAGCGTGTAAAAGCAGCCACAAAGCATTAGCTTGTTTCATCAATGTCCATAATGGTGCATGCTTAGTTCAAGCTCAATTTTATGCGCTGCTTCTGACTGTCAGTGGAACCAAAACCTGTGATACTTGTATTGAGAAGATACTGGTAACACAGATATCGTTTTTGTCACTTGAACTAAATTGAAGATAACTATAGTGGAGAGATGGGTTTTCTTCTTTCTTGTATGTAATTTAACTCTTTAGAGGTGCTTTGTGGGTAGCTGAGATGATGTGTTATTAGGAGCTATTTTCTAAATAGCAAAATACCTATAAAACAGAAGAACGCTTTAAACGTCCTCAGAGAGAGACAGGGACTCAAGGAATGTTGGGATTCTTATGGGGGTTTTAATGCTTTTTTATTTATTTTTCTTAAAGTAAAACCATCAATTTAAAAACTGCATTCCTCTAGCAGAATTATGGGAAATGTGGGTCAACTCAGTTCTTTCTACATGGTTTATGTAATTGTTATAGGTGTTGCTCTCTAACACATGGTGCTTTATGAGGCTTTATTCAGGTACACTGACTACCCGGATTTGAAAATCTCCATTATGAGATTGCAAAAATTTCAGCAAGTTTATACAACTGACAACTGAATGATAATCTCATTCCAGGTATCTGTGCTTAGTCTTAAAACATAGCAAAATAAAAACCAAAAAAGTAAACCCTGGAAGATTTGAGCATTAGGCTAGCATTACTGTTGAAATGCTCTGGGTAACATCTCAAAAGGGTGTAAGTTCATGCCTCTAGATCAACTCCTTCCTCTGTGGATGACAAGACATGACAGCACTTCAACTCTGCAATAGCTCCTTTTTGTTTCGCTGGACACATTGTTTGAATATGTCTGTATCACAGGACGTAGTAAGGCAGAAACCTCGAATACGAATTCTAGATAAGGTAGCACTGAGGTGCTGCACGTTGAACGACAGCCTTAGGCAGTCACTGAGGTTCTACACAGCTTCTAGAGAGGCCTAGAAAGGGTTGGGGGATGGCTCTGTAATCTTCAGCAGCAACTTTGAATACTTCAACCGAGCTTATACAATGGATAAGGTAATACTTCGCAGGTTTACTGCGAGACTTGGGAAGGTAGCATGGGATCTTTGGAGAAGGGGCACGGTGCAAACACAAGAGTATTTTTTAGTTAATACTTAAAATTAATGCTTTGGTTAAACTTAGGTAAACTTGATCTTTTAATCACATTTTACAGACCCTCCCTAAAGAAAGCTTTTTTGGAAGACCAAATGCAATTTTTGGTGAACTCAAAGTGGAAGAAATACAGAAGAGAAAAATGATATAACTTGGCTCTTTAGGAATAAGGTTAATAAAAGTGCTTATTTATCTGTCCTGCTGTTAGTACCTACACAGGCCCAGTGGGGAGAAAGGTTTTGTCTGATTTCATTGGTTTTGTTGTGTCAATGTAGATTTTATGGCAGATCAGAGTAAATGGCCAGAAGGAATTATCTTGGTTTCTTTTCACATTCTGCCATAGACTAACCTCAGAAGTTTCTTCAGAACAAAAAAGGTCCTTTTTTGAAAATGTCTGGGGCTAGTTTTGGAAGTGCCTAAATATTTCTGAATACTGACCTGTCCTTCCCCTCAGATTATGGGTACTCAGCAGATGGGAAAGTTAAGCAGTATTTTTTAAAGCAGATTGTTACAAGATCAAAAGGTTGTGGGTTTGGGGCTTTGTTTGTTTGTTTTTAAAGTATTTGTCCCAGCTGAAAGGTGACTGCCAAATTTTTTGTCTTCAAAGGTACATTTCGGAATGTAAGTATGGACAGGATCAGGTATCCTTAGAGTAAACAACAGTTCCTTTTCTTTAAAGCATCCTCTTAAATTAAAGCATTGCTTTTCTTTGACCGATGGTTACAGCATGAACAGGAAGTATGCATTATAATTTAATTACTATATTAAATGGATACATGGATTATGAGATTATTTTCTAGATTTCTCAGATATCTAGTAATTATTTTCAGAATATTTTCAATACTACATCTTGCCACTACAGCCTGTCGAGAAGCAAAAAGTTGTCACGTAGTCAAATAAATCATATCTGAGAGAATCACAACTTAATATTAAGGAGATGATTTCAAAAGTATTTTAGTATGTTCATGGCAATGTCATGACATCATTTAAAGGTGGCCTTTTATACCTTGCTGTCTCTTCTGTGTCTGTTCAGGAATTGCTATGCCTCATGGTATGTATCAACTATTTTTAGAACCTGTTAGTGATGGCCACTGAGAAGTCATGACTGCTGGAGTTAAAACTGATGGTAGATTCATCAGCTGATGGTTCAGGCAGGCAACCTCCTATATTTTGAGTTCTTAAAACTTTAGATGTCCATTACTGTGTCTCTGGCTCTCCTTAGTGTCATGAAGCTTAACATACCTTTCTTTTAGCAATTTCTTAATTGTTGTTTGACTGTTTTAATAGCATTCTTTTAATGGTATTCTGTAAAAACAAAGTGGAAAGATGCATTTGTGGCTTTCTTGCTTTCTCAGTATGTAAAAATAAGGCAAGGAAGAACTTTTGTTGCTAATTAAACTGCAACGACAAAATAATGAAACAGCTTTTTACAATACATAAATGACTGTAGCTTTCTATTTTCTGAAAGTCCAACAGAATGATATGCGGGGAGGGGGGAAATACACATTTTTAGTACCAAAATCAGTGTGATGCTATGTTGGGACAATTCACATATACTGGCTATTTTGCTGTAATATTTTACTGAATACATTAATTTTTATGATGGTATACCTAGGTGAGGTTGGCAACAAGCTGACATTGGTATATTCTGGGGCTTACTTGGGTGCCTCAGGTTTCAAAAAAATCAACACACATAACACCTCAGCTGCTCGTGCCTTTACCTTCACTTGAACTTCATAAATGTCGGAGCATGAGTTATCTTGCTATCAAAGAAGAAAACCCCAAGAAATTAGTGGTTTTGATAATAAAAATGTTATCTTAAAGATTTGAGATGGAAAGTGGGATTTGTTTTTTTTTTTTTTGTTGTTGTTGTTTTGTTGTTCTCCTTTTTAATTTTAGCATTTTGGTTTTGTTAATGTGTGCCAAGTCAAAACACCCAATTAAGCTATTGGCTGAAAAAATGATTTATTCAGGTTTTAGTGTCCTATCCCTTCAACTAAGCATTGTTTAAGACCAGTTCCCATGTCCAAAAAATTTCTAATAAGTCATCTTGGAAAGATGCAGTATTTCTGATGCTCACAGGATCCTGGTATATTAAAGAAATGTGAGTATTTCAGTGCCCTGTTTGGATGTCAGCTGTGCTTGTTCGAGTGCGCTACATCTGCATCAGGAGTGTTGAGCCACTGTGAGTACATCATTGCAGTAATACTTTTTTTCAGGCTT